TAAACACGTAACCTTGAAACCTCTATGAGGATTTCTTATATACTTGTAGAAACCTTGCTTTATAATATATTCAATATAATTAATAAGAACTAATACACATACATTACTATACCATTGGTTGTTGAATGAATAATTGTCGCATAATTTTCGGTGTTGCATAAAAAAGGTTGCCCATATACTCAAATACCTTGTACATACCTCATGCAAGAAATTCTGAACATCCTCATCATCAAGACTGAACCAAGCCAAATTGGTTTGATAGATCAGCAAGCACATCAGTATCGCTGCTTCAGCGATACACCAACCCAGGCTGTTCTTGAAAACTGAATTTTGCTTCTTCCGAAAGTACACGACGTGTCTCAGTCTCAAAACGCCAAGCAGTCTGAACAATAATGTGAATCTTGTGTAAGTCTCGTTGAAGAACGGCGTGAGAACCATCACAAAGGGTACGAGAGATAAAGAATCAGCTACCAAGCAAAGCATTGAAGTATCAACCACTTCTGTTAGGTTTTTCCTAGCGTTTTTTGAGGAGCGGTGAGTGTTCAACAGTACAAAATGCAGTAGGTACGAGACATCAAATATCACGAAGAATGGTAGGTAGTCCATGTAAGAGTTGGATAGAACTGTAAGTGCTACAGTCACCAACAAGTAGTTCAGGATAGATGTTGTCACGATGAAAATCTGTAAGAGAGTATGTAATTATGCAGGGTGATCCAAAAAAAGAAATATTTGTAGGTTATAAGATAGACCAAAATAACACGAAAGGTTCCGACTAACATGGGTCCCACTTTGTTCATAACGTTATCAATGACATCTTCAAATATAACACTCAGCCACTAGTGCTATATGCTGATGACATTACGTCTATCTGCAGAGGAAGCTAACAAAAACATTAGCCAAGAAACTGCAATGGACGTTGAATACATTGGAGTCTGGTTCTATGCAAGACAAAGACAAAGCCCAAACAAGTTATTTCTCATTTGGGTATCATGGTAACAAATCTACGTAAAATCTATTGACTGTCGCTTGAATTAGGAAGAGCACATCAATAACTTGACCACCAAACCAAGTAAAAGTTTCTTTGCCCGTCGCAGGCTTCTAGAGTTTCGGAGTATGTAAAACCTCAACACTCAAATTCTGTTCCTTGGTTATTATTAAATATATCTTAGTTCGAGAATAGTCGTCAACGGAGTATCTATTTAAAGAACCAGAAAGAGCAAATGGTATTCTGGGAATCTTACCACTGCACCAAGTAATAGGTTGTGAATTAGTTTCGGAAACATCTATATAGGCATACCGAACCAAGGCCAACTGCAGAGAGATCGAGAGAGCTCTGAAGCTGGCCTGAAGCGACGAGCAAGCGTTCGACTTTGTGCGAAGGGAGAATTTTAAAGCCGTCGCGCAACGACCGACGCACACTGCAACAGCGCAATTGTGCACCAGTTACGGTTATTTTAGCAGATTTGCTACTTTTCTTGCAGTCAAGGATGCGCAGGTTATCCGAAATGAAATTTAAACAAGTAAAAAAATGTTCCTATGAACATAGGTCAAAAAATGTATAAGCGTTTGAAACATTGATTATTGTCTGAGATAACAGCTGATAGGATAAAGCAATCTTACCAAAATTGTTGAATTTGCTAGCGGCCTACTGGTATACGTAGAGTTAGGGCTGTTTTACTAAATACACCTAGATTTTACTTCCAACGCCTGCTAGCAAGGAAGTATTGTAATCGCGACAAATTTCGAAAATGAGTTATTTGAATGAAATTTTAGCGGCGGCGCCAGGGCCAAAGAAACGGAAAAATAGGCGAATTCGCTCAATATATCCTAAAATATTTGTGTAGTACTGGCATTTTTATATTAGAAGTATATGCATAAATAGGCTTACATTCCATGCTGTCGAGTTAGGGAGGCTTAATAAAACACGAGAATGTTCTCTCCAAGAAGAGGCGGTAGATGCACCGATTTCTTCATTCATTTTCCCTTGAACCACATTTCAAAAAATCTCAATTATAATTTGGCATCTGAATTTGGAGTTGAAATAAAGACAACCTGAAGTGCCAAAAGCTTTTGTCGTTGCCTACTATTTCAAAAATACTAACACTGTCACAAGAAGAGTCAATGTCATGTCAGTGTCATCGTAGACTTGAACATTGCAAGCCCTGAAGATGTCATCAGCAAACCTTCAACATAATCTAAATTTAGTTTCACTGCAGAGAAATCACTATTTTTGCATTGTTCCATCTTTAAGACGCTAGTTAAAATCTATAGTTAGTGCCATCAGTGTTTACTGATGTACTTTTTGGTAAAAGGTGATTTCCAACGTATTGCAATTAACACGGTGGTCAACGGTAAGCCGTGCTTTTTAACTTATTTTATATTTACGCTCAATGCCATACCGAGAAAGCTAATCAGAATCATTTTTCACGTCCAGAGTTCAATTTTTGAATGTCTTACTGTTTATAAAATGTAATTTTCTATGATATTCCTCTATTTTGTTACTCGACTAAATTCAAAATTGGAGTCAGTTAAGTTATTAACAAATCTACATTTGGATTCGGTTCATAACAACAACTCCCTATTTTTTATCGTCCCATCACTACATTATTAGGTTATAAAATGGATCAATAGATGGCGCCACCAGTATTTTCTGTTGAGTTTTTGAAAAGCGGTGGCAGCGTATATTTGTTTCTGTATTAATGTTGGCTGGATTACAATTGTATTGCGTTCAATGTTCGCGATACAGTTTAGCTAAAAATGTTGTCCTTGATATATTCATTTTGAACTTTGAAACCTTGAACCTTCTCAAAAGCGGACACTGGTATGCGTCTTGTCACAGTTTCTTCAGTCAGATACTAATTAGTTGAACTTTTTACTAATAGATGTCGCTGAGCGGATCGCTTTTCATATTTATTGGAACATAAATCAGTGAGCCGATTTTGACCAGTCAGATTTAGCCGAAGATGATTTCAATAGGCGAGTTGGATTTTCTACAAATAACCACAGCGATTAGTGCTAACACCATTCATGTAAAGAATATCTGCTACAGTGATGAATACACATTTTATCTAAATTGATTTGTTAATAGGCATAACTGTTGGTTTTGGAGCAATAAAAATCCTTACGCTTTTGTAGGAGGGCATACCCAGTACCCCCAAAAATTAATGTATGGTCAGGCATTTTAGGAAACAAAGTGATTGGGCCATTGTTTATCAATAGAAATCTGAATGGAGACACTTATTTGGATATGTTGGAAATACCATCAATCCGCTTATCGCTGAAACCATTGAAAACCAAATCGAAGAGGATACTTGATGAGGCTGAAATATATTTCCAGCACTCTCATTATGTCCTTCCGGTTCGGCAAGGGCTAGACGAAGAGTTTCCAGATAAATCGATAGGGCGAAGAGGGCCTATAAATGGCCTGCTAGATCTCCTGATTTGACGCCATTAGACTTTTTTCTATTGGGCCATTTGAAATCTATTGTGTTTCACTTCCCAACCTGAAAGTTTGGATGAACTTCGTCAACGCATCATCGAAACCTGCCATGATATCCCACAACGTGTTTTTGAAAAAAATAAAGATTTTTCTAATTTTCTTGAAAACGTCAAATTAAATGACTTCGAAAGTCTTTTAACCAAGCTATTAATCGATGCCCCTCGTCATTTAAAATTTTTAAGGGAATGACCCTGGGGGCCGGAGGGTGAAGTAGTTTTTGGTTAAAAATTCGTCGCCCTTGACAAATCGACGTGTCTCCGCGATTTTTTTTAATCAGTGGTTTTGGACAAATGCGTGGTGGCAGGTTTTCAAATGAACACCCGTATAAGCGTAAGGCATCATATTGCAACAAATAACACAAAATAATGTTTCAAATTAATTGTATTTTAACGGCTTTTAGTGTGTTTAATGTAACACCTGTGGTTTTCCTAACTATAAATAACCTTTTACTGACGGTTATTTATTACAGCGTGTTTTAGTGTTTACTCTGTATTTTAGTGTCTTATAGTATTTTCCTCTGGTTTTTGCGTTTTTCCTTATTGTAAAATATAGGGTTCAACTGACAAATTTCAGAAAATACCTTTTTCCGTTAACGGTTTCCCGATATTTGCAGTTTGCTATTTCAAACATTTGAATTGTTGGGATTCAAACATTGATTTTCATTACCAAAAATCTTAAATTTGTAGAGGCCGGAGGTATTTTTAAATGGATTCTTCTATAACGTTATAGGAAGTAGGAAGTCTATGTGAAGTAGGAAGTTAAACGAATCTGTCCTTCGCTTATCCAGTATAAGCTTAAAAACAGATAGAGATCATTAATAAACTTGTGAAAAAGCAGATGCGTGCGTATGTTGGTTTGGTTGTTTCTTTTTTGATAACAACGCAACGTCAGGATGAAGAGAACATATCGATCCGCATCAATCTTTCAGCATTTGGAGGCGACACTACATAACTCACCAGTTATCTGCTTT